ATATATATGTAACAGCAGCTGCACTATAGTAAACTAGCACTTGGTTGCACTGACCTATATGAGGTGAGCCATCTGGAGAACTAGAATACTGTAGATAATAAAACTACAATTAGTGCAAGAAAGTTTTACCATATGTCACCGCCAACCAATCAAGTTTCAGTTTTCATCTATGTCTGTCCAGACTCACATGGGGCCATGACAGTGCTTCTAAATATGGATGTTGCTGCAGAAAAGCTACAAATTCTAGGACATGGATGCTTCACACAAATCAGATGATCTATACAAAAAGCAAAGTTCCAAGGTGGACACCCAAGTTATGTGTTGCAAATTCAGTATCTGACCAAATGTCTCCCCTGCTAAACCTGAGTAATGGTGGTGAAGACAACTATTTTTGCAGAACATTATGATGTCACAGTGATGTTGACCTTTGACCTTTTGAATGTCAAATATCATCACTTCATCATCTCGTCCTGTTAGACATTAGTGTGAAATTTTGTCATGATTAGCGAATGAATTCTTGAGTTATGGACAAAAACATGTGATTGAGGTCACAATGACCTTTGAGCACCAAAATCTAATCAGTTCATCCTTGCATTCAAGTGCATGTTTGCGCCAAATTGGAGAAAATTCCCTGAAGGCGTTGTTGAGATATTACATTCATAAGAATGAGATCACAGTAACCTCTGACCACCAAGTTTCAATCAGTTCATCCTTGAGTTCAGGTGGACGTTTGTGCCAAATTTGAAGAAGTTACCTCTAGGCCTTCTTGAGATGACATGTTCACCAGAATGAGACGGATGGATGGATGGTCAGACAGCCCAAAAATATAGTGTCTCTAGCCGCAGCTGTCGCTGGTGTGGGGGGAAGAAAAGTAAAAAAGTACATAGTTCCACTTACACCTGCAACATGGACACTATTTCTGGACAGACTTGCTTTTGCTAAATTTTTAAATTGATTTGTTTTTTAATCTTGTGAGCATCACTTACCAAATTCCAATTACTCTTATTAGAGGCAGAAATCTCAAAGACAAATATTACACAGCTGGTAAAAATACATTCATCCACATGGCTGGATCTTATTAGAGGTCAACAAGAAAAGCCAGTGGCTCTGGATTAAGAGGGAAAACCCCACTTGGGCCACAAAATGACAGCATCAGCAGCAGGACTGGGGGGCACCTGGCACGCCAGATGTTGCTCATGAGCTCTCTGGAGATGTAGTGGGCCTGTCATCGAAACACCAGGGAAGGAGGGTACCCAGCTGATGACCCTAAAATGTCCTCAGATGCATATTTTAGTGCGCTGTTTGGTTGTAATACGAGAGTGTGTAAACAGGAAGTTGATGCCATACTGTTCCCTGTATTGTTAAAACATATGTGGAATGATGAAACAGAAAAACAAAGCAGTGTTGATAAAATATAAACCAAGATTGCATTCCTCAGTTGCCTATAGCTCACCTCAAATGTTTTCAAGAACAAATTTTAGCTTACTCTTTCTGGGGTTTCCTAGTGTAGTGGTCAGAGCATTCATCTCCCCTGCGGAAGGCCCAAGGTTCAAAGCCCACTGGGGTCAACATCAGCAAAGGCATGTGGTCGCAAGAGGTTCCCACCGCCAAATCAAACGGGATCAGATTCCTTGAGGAGGCTTCAGGGTCAGAGAGTAACTCCAGATCTGAGCCAAGTCCTCAATGCTGCATCTCAAGTCTCAACTTGCAGCACATCACCCACTAGTGTGAGGGTTTATCGGTCTGGTTTGGTGCAAGACATTCTGGTAGCCTGACCAAAAGCAAGTGGTACAGCCCTTTTTCTCTTTTCTCTCTGGTCACATAGCTCCAATTCCAAAAGCATTTTCCACTTCTTTCTACTGCAAAAACAGCCTCATTTTGTAAAAGACCATCTTTCAGTAGTGAAAACGTATTTTAAGGAAGTTTTTTTAGAAATATAGTAATCTGCTTTCTTATTTAGAATAAGCTGAGAAGTTTGTACTTAACTTGATTGGGTTTTTACACTTAGGCACACAAGAAAAAACATGTTAATCAGTGAGCTTAAGAAGTTCTGGCTGGGTTTTTACTGCCACACATCATACAATAAACTGTCAGAGTTTTTGTTCAGATGGGAGAAATGACTTCCACTGAAAACCCGTTCACAGTGAGAGGATCATTCTCATGAACTTTGTCTTAATCAATACTTCAGGTGTGTCTCAAAACATCCACATACCCTTTTGTACATTGAAACAGTTATTATATTACTGTATTGAGCCCCCTACACTCTGCAATGTCTGTGTAAAAAAGTGACTTCCTCCCAAATGCTTTCTGGAAATGATCTGAGACACTCATACCAAGAAACCACAGAGCAGAAAGAGAATTGTACAATGGTACAACAGTATATCTCTCAATATGATTTCACTGATTTTCATACAACCAAATTATTTGTAAAGGACACCCACTGTCCTCCATTTTTTTCATTAGTTAATATTTAGCTCACCACACTTGAAAATAACCTTTTGTGGTTTGTTGGTGCACACACATGCACATCAAGTTAAAAGTGTCACACTAGCTCAGCACAGAGCATCACTAAATTTTAGCCAGCAGTACTGGTTTACACACACAATGATTTCATTTTTGCACTTTCATATACAACTAGTCCATGGTAGCTTGTCTCCTTCTACCTATGCCAATCCTCAATGCCTATGTGCAGTTTCACATAGATTGCCCATGTCATTGAGTAGAAGAACGTGGGACAGACAGAATGACTGACTGACAGAATGACACACTGACAGTTTCCGTGATTATGTACAGCATACCATACCATGACTTAATCATACAAAAAATTAGAAAAACAACAACATTCAGCCACAGGGGGAGCCACAGCGATCGGTCGCGTTTTAGCCATTTTTAAGCATTTTTCTGTTGTTATAGCGCCACCCAGTTAATCAATTAGAGTTAAATTTCTCCAGTCACCTTGTGGCGTCCTGTTCTACATATCTACCAAGTTTAGTAAAAATCGATATGGCGGTTAGGCCTAGATAAGAAATTAGCTCTCTAGCCCCCCCATTTTGTTTGATCAGGTCAATAATGGAGGGGTCCCCTCAGATTACGTGTGGTCATATGCCTACAAAGTTGCGTGGTGATCGGTGAAACCCTTGAGATGTTATACACCTTTATGTGATGAGCCACGCCCTCCGCAATATTCATTGCCTTATAGAAGCTCAGTTTTAGTAAGTTTTCCAACTTTTCCCACGAGGGAACTTTAGATATTGGTCCCTAGATTATGTTCACCGAGTTTCATGCAGATCGGTCAATTGATGTAATACTGCTTCATGCGCATCCTCCCATGACCCTCTACCACTGTGCCAAATTTCACATGGATTGACCAAGTCAGTGAGGAGAAAAACATGGAACAGACACACAGACAGAGTTTTTGTTATTATATAGTAAGATTGTGGAAGCCCTCAGTACAGTAGTTATGATGGCACCAGGCACAAGGAAGCCTATTGCAACCCGTTGTCACAGAGATAGTAGGAATTAGTTTGTTTTAACAAGGTCCATGCCAAAATCATTGCACTTATTTATGTTGTCTGTAGAAAAGCCTGTTTAATCAGATCACTGCATGATGAGGCTTTACATTATTCATACTGAGATAAAATTATATTTACGATATGTCTGCATTACACTTTTAGAGTAACAATTATGTGGTCCCGTCTAATTAAATGAACAGTAAGTAGGATTTAATGGCATCTAGTGGTGAGGATTGCCGATTGCAACCAAAACTGAAACTTTTCCCATGTGCCATTCCTGAATTCCCGGTTAGGATTCCTTCAGTGCTTATTGTTCAGGAGGTTTTTACTGAGAGCCAAGTTATCTGCAGGGATCCCTTCCTCTCCAAAACGAACAGACCCAGTGATTTAAATAGGTTAAAACAACTGAATAAAGCAATTTCACATTACAAACAAGTGTGTCTCTAATGCTGGTTGGCATGTCGGAAAGGCCGCTAGCTCAGCACCTGCTAATCTGTGATCACCATTTTCACTGATAATTTTAAAGATGTTAAGGAGTTTTTTTTTAGGGGGAGCTGAATTATCCGCAGAGGTGTTTTCCTCTCCAAAACAAACTAATCGGGTGATTTAAACTGGTAAAAAAAAACCCTGAATGAAGCAGTTTCACATTAAAAATCAGTATTTTTCTGATACTATTTGGTTGCTCATAGAGGAGCTGCTTATTACAGTGGCCGACACAAAAATTGAGTTTTTTGAACCAGGGAACACTGTGCTCTCCTTCATCACAGCTCCCAGTGTGTACTGTGCAGTTTGGAGTTACAGAGACTCCTGGCTGGATGGTCTCAGATGCTGACTGATGGACCAAAGCTGGGACGTTTAAACCTGAACCCTTTCTACTCACCTAAGTACCTTCTGCAAATTCAAAAGCTATTTGTATAGTAGTAAGTGGCTGTCAG